TACTTTCATTTTAATCCGCTTTATTATTGCTGTCATAATCCCATGTTAGTTCTATTCGCCGAAGCTTCTCCACCGCTAACCAAAGATACGATTGTCCTCGTGCTGCGGGTTTTATGGACGAGAAGCATGTTGGAGTTAAAGTTAGTTGTCACTTATATTGAAGTTGTCAATTTCACGTCAAGTATACTTCTTGTTCAGAAGCCCAGAAATGCCGGTATTACGTATTGGAACTATAAAGGATTTCACTAATAATCCTTTTAGCTGTATGTGATTGTGTTTATGGCATTTGATATTGGCACACCGGAACGAGCTGGAGATGCGGAAGTGACTTTCCTTGAAGAACGTGATGAGCTGTTTCTGAAAAGCTACGCTAGACACGGTTGGAGCGGTTCAATACTACTTGTGGATGGAGAATCTTTGTGCCACCTTTAATATAAAATTTACTGACAATGAGATATGTGGATGGCGGGTTCGCTCAAGGACACCGCTATATTGGGCCGTTTTCAGAACCCAGGGCAACAACGGCCAGCAAACGGCGCTTTAAGCGAAAAATAGCGGGTATTCCAAGCACACAACATAGCGGGTATCAGCTTTGCTTTCACGTTACTATAGAGCTCGAAGGATGATAGAGTCGTCATTTGGAATTCTTTGTAAGCGATTCGTAATCCTGCAGAGGGACTTACAAGTGGAACCAGAAAAGGCTTCTAAAATAGTGGCTTCTCTCCTGGTGAGAACATGACCTTTGCCCAAGTATTCTGCTTCTTAATGCGCTTCAGGTACTCTAGGCCCGCAAACAAGACCTTTTGGAGCAAGTTCAACGCTTCGCTCCCCCAAGGAACAGTGCGTTGCCGGATCGCTTCGCACCTCTTCAAAGGATAGCTGGAGGCGGTGGCACGGATTCAGCCAAAATCGCAAGAGATCGCCTCGTGCAATATTATGATAATTTGTAAGGGCCGTTGTGCCTTCAAATAAAACAGTTTATTTTGCTAAAAGGGTACAATGACAAATTGATGGCAAATATGTACAAAATAAAAATGAGGTATTAGATAACATACATACACATAACATAAAATATTATGTACACAAAGTACAACACATACATATATACAACGTCCATAAAGCTTGAGCCTTATGCAACATATTAAAATTCACAGATCATAAAATCACAAAATGTGGCACTTGGGATAACCACAATATACCGATAAAATACACTAAACTATTGGGTGTACAACCTAATTCGGTCCGTTTTTTTACTTGAAAAACGCATTTATTTTAATCATAAAATGAATTAATACCTTATTCAAAGTATTGGCCATCGCTAGC